CGACACACTTTTTCATATTACTTCTTTTGGCAACTGAATATGGCAGATTCTCTTTGTCATGACTTTTTATTTGAGTACTGGAGAATAAACCCAGGAGTGCTTAACCACCGAGCTACATCCCTAGCCCCCCTTTTTAAATTATTTTTTGAGACAGAGATCTCACTATTAAGTTGCTGAGGCTGGTTTTGAACTTGTGACCCTCCTGCCTTAGCCTCTAGTTGCTGGGGTTATAGGCATGTGTCACCATGCCCAGCAATTGTCTTGATTTTATAGAAATAAAACCAAGCCTTAGGAAATGGCTTAGGTTCACACTAAGTAAGTGGTCGAGCTAAGAGGTCAACACAAGCATCAAAACCCCCCACTTTTTACCTACACTTCACTAGCCTAGCAGTAAAATGGTGTTTTAATCATTTTTTTTCATCTCTGAAAGCCTTTAAAAGAACAATTAGAAGAGGAAAAGTTTTTTGTCTCAATTTCAGAGATTTCAGTCCATAGAAGGCCAATTACTTTGCTCTGAGCCACGGTGAGGCAGAAAATCATGGTAAAAGAGTGTGCCCCAGGAAAGCAGGTCAGGACATAGCAACAAGAAAGCAGGAGAGAGAGCAAGCTCCACTCACCAGGGACAAAATATAAACCCCAAAGCATGTACCCAGTGACTACCTGAACAGAATAGGCAATGAATAGAACACAGCTTTCCAGAAGCCTGATGGCCAATTATGCAGTCTGAAACAGTGGCTGAGCAGGTAAATGATAGGCACCAACAGTTGAGTCAAATTGGAATTGACACCTGGCTCTCATCAAGAAAATCTGATATGGAAAATTGAGACCTGCAGGTGCCATCTTTCACTGTGTATTTGGGGGTCTTCCTAAATGAGCATGGTATCTGATTTTAGATTCCTCTGCCATGCTTATCTCCCACAGCATCTGTGGCTCCCTGCTTTGAGGCCCAGCTTGCCAATATACATTCTTTAACCCACAACCTGACACCTGTACCTTTTCTGGTCACAAACCACTTTGAGGCTCTGATGAAAACTAGTAACCCTCTCTCAGACAAAGACATAAAATTTTATATATGATTCAGTGGGCTCATAGCTTCCTGAAGATCATCTAAGTCCCCATCCCTACTATACATGCAGACTCTTGCCAAATGTAGAGGTTCATGAAAGGTAGATTCCCTACAAGCTGCAGCAAGGAGCCTGGGGTGAAGAGGGGACAGTTTTTAAAGATGTTTTTTTGAGAAGCTAAACTTTAAACTTAGATAATTGTTTTCTTTTTTGATTTAGCAAATGAAACAATGGGTGTGAAACAGCCTAAGTTAAAGATGTTTCCAATTATAACAAATGGTTGTAGAGCTCCTCCCTGCAGAGCAGGTTGTAGGGGAATGGAAATGATGAGGACATAGAGAGAATCCCTGCATGGGTCGGCCCTGCCTTCCATTTTCTAGTTGTATGCATATGGCCAGGTCCCAGAGCCTCTTGGGTTTCATTGGCTTACCTCTGCATCCGGCATGTGGGGGAAGAGTACTGAGTGCAGCTTAGAATTGCTAGGACCACTGGCAAGAACCTCCTGAACCCTGACTGTTCCATGAAGTAGGTGTGAGACTCTGGGAGAGTTCAGAATTTTCTCATTTTTTAAGAAGGTAACAATAATATTGCCCATCTCCCCATGATGTTGAGAAAATAAAGGGTCTGTCACAAAATTGAAGTTCAACATTTGTGATTGTTCTTCTTATTATCCAAGTATCAGAAGGTCTTGTTGAAATTTAAAAAAAAAAGTGCATGTATAGAGCCCATTAAATATAACATCATGGGTAACCACCACATTCACATAAAAAATCAAATCTTCAGGGCTGGGGTTGTAGCTCACTGTTAAAAGCACTTGCCTTGCATGTGTGAGGCACTGGGTTCAATCCTCAGCACAACATGAACACAAATAAATAAAGATATTATGTCCATCTACAACTAAAAAAAAATTTTAAAAAAATCAAATCTTCAGAATAATTACCAGTGCATCTCACCCTTACTCACACAGATAGAATGGAAAGAAATGAAGATTCCACAAGTTATCACACAAAACTGTCTTTTACTAATAAAACCAAAGAACCTCAAATACTTTTTGTGGACTTTAGCTTTTTTCCTTCAGATTTTGAAATGGTATTGTGCATGTACATATTTTTAAATTTAGGTACATTTGGAGAACACAGTTGTGGACACAAAGAAATACAAGAAATGAATGAGATGTTCTGAAATCTGATTTCAAACACTTGTAATTATTAAACTGATGTCTGTGAATCCTGTCCTGTGAAGTATGTGCCATTTTTCCTCTGCTTTTCATGATGGTGAGATCACACAGCAGCCCATGTAACAGACATGAGAAGTATGTTAACATAGAATCAAAGAACTGTACATCTGTTAATATCTAGTGGAAGGTGTCAACCCAGCTGGCTTAAAAAAATCTTTAAATAACATTTCCATTTATTCCATGAATACTTTCTTTCCCTTAGTGCGTTAATTAGAAAGACTAGTAAGTATTTTTTGAACATGCACATACGTGAACACATCCAGCATCCTGATAAAAATTAAGAGTCACCCTTGCTGCTGCTGGACTAGAGATCCCTGGTCAGAATCAGAGATTCTACTGGCTGACTCCTCCTTGCAAAAAGCTGTACTAGAGAGCCCCAGGGAATTCCTGGAAGCCCCAATTGTTTCCCTTGAGAAACAAGACAGGCAGGGCCTCATTGGTAAGCTGGGTTGTATATTATTCTTCTATGAAATGGATAGGGAAGATAGGAACCTTGTTGTTTGGAAGAGATTGAATATTATGTGGGGCCTTCTACAAAACAGTTCCCGTTGGCTTGTTCATGATGGCATATCCTGCCTTTAGGTAATGACTTCCCGGAGAGACCCAGTTTAAGCATAATTATGAAGACTTATACCCATGGAAGTCATCACCCTAACATGAACAAAAATAATAATGACTTAGAAGCAAGAGCGTCTTCAATGAAGACAGTCACTAGGCATCATTTAGAAACTGAAGGTCACATGTTTAGGGCACCAGACTCTCAAATAAGGCTCAGCAATGCCCAAAAAACTGCATAAGCATGAAGGAGACTTATCTTCTAAACTGATATTATTATTTATCCTTTATAAAAGGAGTGGAAACTTGGGCTGATATTTAGACAGTCCCCTGTAGACAAGGACTAGACCATTCCAGAGTCCTATCTTGTCTTTTGTGACAATGCCTTACCTTGCCTAATGAGAATTACTTAGAAAATCCTAGACCTCTTGTACCATGATGACAAAAGCCCTTCTAAAAACAGAAATCTACACAATAGAATTACTAATGATATACTAATCCAAATTAATGCCCCTTTTTTTTTTTAAAAAAAAATAGTCATCTGGATAATACCATAATTTTCTTGTCTAGAACCTTATGTTGTTCCCCATATGCATAAATGCAGACTAGTACTTTTAACTACCCAAAAGTGTACAAAAAGGAATATATTCATCCCAAATTTACACTTTTGATCACTTAAACTAAATTTTTGAAATAAGTTTGGTTGCAGGGACATTGGTCCAACTGAGGATCTTCCTGTTTATCACCCATCTGGAATTGTATCCACATAACCAATAAGTTATCATATTGATAAAACTGAAGTGGGGTCTGTTGTTTGTTTTTATTTTTGTGATACTGAGGATTGAACCCAAGGCCTCGCACATGCTAGGCAAATGCTCTACTATGAGCAACATCCCAAGCCCAAGGTGGGGTCTATTTTAATAATATACATCTGGGTACATGTTCTAGAATTGCCAACACTCAGTCATTACTACTTACAATGTGGTCATTAAATTTACTCTTGGTGGAGCTGGGAATGTGGCTCAAGTGGTAGCGCGCTCGCCTGGCATGCCTGCGGCCCGGGTTCGATCCTCAGCACCACATACAAACAAAGATGTTGTGTCTGCCGAAAACTAAAAAATAAATATCAAATTTACTCTTGGTATTATGAAATACATTCCTCAGAGCACTAGCTGCTTGAATTGCAAAGAGCTTTTGAACTTTAGGCAAAGTTCCTGAAATCTCTGCCTTGCTAGACTGGCAGCTCTAATGCACTTCCTGGGGTTTCTTAGAAACACTAAAGTGAGCACAAAACACAAAGAATAAACAGTATTCAACTGTATACTCCCCAAAAGTTCCCAACAAATGCCCTCTTGTCTGCTGTTTCTGTTTAGGTTTTGGAGTGGTCTTTCTCTCATAGTCTTCTGAAAATACCCAGGGAAAATGCTGACAGTCAGTGGGATATCACTCTAGATTATCTTTCTTTTTTCTTTTTTTTTGGTACCGGGAATTGAACTCAGGGGCCCTTGACCACTGAGTCACATCCCCAGCCCTATTTTGTGTTTTATTTAGAGACAGGGTCTCACTGAGTTGCTTAGGGGCTCACTTTTGCTAAGGCTGGCTTTGAACTCATGATCCTCCTGCCTCAGCCTCCCTAGCCACCGAGATTACAGGCATGTACCAACATACCTGGTTATATTATCTTTCTGATACATAAGAGAGATATCACCTGACTGCTCCCCTATCTGTCAACAGAGATGACACTCCACTTTTTATGTTATATACAGAAAGGTATGGCTGCCCCCATACGCTCATGCATGCTCATCTCTGAGCTCATGTGAAGAGAAGGGCTTTCCATTTAAAACAATTTACACCTACAGACAACAAACACCAAGAAACATGCAAACACCCCAGGGAACCTGAAGGTGAAGACTTCATATTTTACACAATGAGGGGACACTGTTACAAAATGTTGATGGGATGGTTTCTGTTACTCATGCTCTAACTTGAGGGTCTTTGCAACAGAAGGGTGCCTGTGAAGGTGTTTGCTTTTTTTTTTTTTTTTCATCTTCTTCTTCTCTTTCAGGAGTTACAGGTAGTTCTATGTCAGGCACTATGCAATCTGGTGGCTTTTGGTCCAACATGTATTTTAGTTATCTTTGCACCTTTTTAATTTCTTTGTGAAATGCCAAGTTCAAATGCTGGAAATCGTGATGTCTCTGGTACCAGGATGTCAGAGAGAAAGTGAATAGCGCCAGCCATGCCTGTAAAGCAAAATGTGGATCTTTTTACAAATAGTCATGAAGGTTGTATCTGCAACAAAGTAACCTTCAATTTTTTCCTCTACTGGGGGCTCTAAGGATATGAGAAAAAGTACTGGGGAATTCAAAGATGATTTCATTTAAAAAAAAAAAAAGAGGAAGAAAAGAAAATCCTTATATTAATACCCAGCAAGTATTCTTCATTCTTAAGTTTTTTTTTACAGCTGGCTCATGAGCTTTCATCTTATGTCTATAATACTACAGAATCACTACCAAAGAGCTACAGATGCTAATCTGGAGGTGTAGCTCAGTGGCAGAGTGCGTGCCCAGCATGCATGACGCCCTGGGTTCCATCCCCAGCACCAAAAACAGTTGTACTTTACATCTTCTTTAGGTTTTAAGACAGTAATTTTCAAACAAGCATTATTTGCTTTGGTCAAAATCCCCATTCTAAATCAATTAAACCTCAGGTTTCACACTTCCCTGACAGGAGCTTCTGAAAGTCTCAAGGCCTCTGTCTCCCACTCCAATCAGAACGATACCTTTCCTACAGGATTTGTTTGCTTAAGTTTTCTTTTGCCATAAAAATCACATAAAACCAAACACAAATCTTAAGCATATTTCCTCAAGAGTTTTGACAAATGCACACACTTGTGTAAAACAAACCCTGTCAAGATCTGGAATATTATAACTCCCAAGCAGTCCCCTGTGTCCATCTGTAGTCCATCCCCGCTACATCCCACAGAAGCAATCACCACAGTTGAATTTTGCCCATTTTGGAACTTCACATAAATCACAATACAGCCTTCTGTGTCTGGGTTCTCCATTTTGTTCATGTGTATGTCAGTAGTTGGTTTCTTCCTATTGCTGAGTAGTACATTATAGATTGTTTCCCTGTTTTCCTACTGGAGGACATTTCAGTTGTTTACAGCCTCCCTTACAAGTTTTGCTTGAAGAAAAGGTTCCAGAAGTTTATTTTAAAAATTCAAAAACTAGTAACCTATATAGGAACCTATTAGAAGTAAACAGGAATACTTGACACCTTTGGGAGGACCCTAGAGAAGGCCATGCTGCAATGACCCATTTTCTGGTTTTAAAGGGTAGGATACCACACTCACTGGATGGAGCACATTAGCAGGAGTATGCTCCATCATGAGGGGTCGTAGGTGTCAGCAACCCCAGCATCCTAGTAGCTCCTCTGCCTGACCTGCCACATAGACATTCAATATAACTATTTCTTGGTCCATCTGACAAGAGTTTCGTTAACACCTACCACTATGTGTGTCTGACAGGCACTGGAAAGACCCAAGGCAGGGAATTAACTTCCCAGACATCAGGGGATTGTACATTGAACAATTTTGACTCACTAGGGCTTTGAAGTTGCTATTATAAACTTGAATTTCTAAACCTGAATGACCTCCATTTAGAGTTCAGGTTCTAACTATATCATATCTGATGAAAATATACCACATTTTTATGACATAAGGAAAAGTCTCATTGAGAAATATTCTTTCTATATGATGTGCCTTGCACATGCTAGGCAAGTGCTCTACCACTGAGCCACAAACCCAGCCCTCTATGTTGTTTTTGAATATTAAAAAGATCATATTACCCAAAAGATCTGACAAATATTCTATTTTTGTTCATATTTCTATTATGTGATTAAAAGTATCACCAAGGTCAGAATAAAATAACATATATCACTAGAGGTGATTTAGACATCAAATAAAACAATAAAGGAATACTACCAATAGCTTCAACACATAAAAACTTGACATCATAGATAAAATGGGCCAATTTCTCAAAAGCAGGAAACTCCTACAACACACCCAATATGAAACAGAAAAAGGAAACAGCCCTATAACTATTAAAGAAATTGAAATTATTTTAAAATCTTGGAAAAAGAAATTTCCAGACCCAGAAATGTTTACTAGAGAAGTCTACCAAACATTAAAATTTGATTTACACTAATTTTTCCACCAATAAATACAAAGCCTGTCCCAGAAAACAGAAGAGAGGAGAGTTCTCAGGATAGTTCATTAGATCACGATTACGCTGCTACCAAAATAAGATAAAGACAGTGCAAAATAGGAAAACTAGAAATTAACACCCTTCATGAATACAGATGTAAAATTCTTATTATATAAGGCTAGCTTCTGGAACCCTTTCTTCTAACAAAAACTTGTCGGGAAGCCTGGGAAAAGCCCAAATGTCCTTCAGTAGAAATCATTTTATTAGTTCTGAAGTTTACTTTGGGATAAGTATAAGATGTGGCTCTAAAGTAATTAAAGGTTACTTTATTATGAATTTATCTCAACTGACCTTTTAGTCTTTGTCCTTTGATTTTTGTGGCTTATAAGTTAATACACACAAAAATATAAAAAAAGAAGTTAAGTCCCTCTGTAAGACTGTTATTTTTTTTCCTTAAGTTACATTCTGTTGTGCCCAGAGCAGACTGATAATTTTTGTTGCTTTTACTGGTGGCCTGTTATTGCTCATTTCCAGAACGTTCTTCAATATTTGTTTATTTTTTTCCCAATCACTAGTATTCCTAAGTACTAATACTTCCAATTAATTATTAATACTTCCTTATATAATTTATATATACATATAATCTAAATATATAATATAATATAAATACATAATTTAAGTTTATATAAAATAAATATATTTATTTTTAACTATTCAAGCTTCCTGTGAGTACATTAATATTACAATATTACAAGTGAAATGCAAGAGGTATCACCCAGATGCTTATCTCTCCTACTGCTCAGTAGCAAGCCTTCCATACTGTATCCATATCACTAGATCTAATCACTTCCATACTTTGTCTGCATATACTTCACATCTACAGATACTTGGATGATATTCACAACAAAAAGAAGGCAACATAAAGACATACTCAATATCATTTTCAGGCATCAATTAATCTGTGTACTGCTATTTTAGTTTTGGAATTTTTACTCATGTAAGATCAAATATACTACTGCTAATCCCCAGAGACAGGGAGATCAATTTCACTCACCCGGATGCTTAAATCTATAGTTGTTTTTTTTTTTTTTTTTTTTTTTTTTTTACTCTCCTACCTTCAAACAGGGAATATGGTCTATCAGGAATGCGGCATCCATGCGCTCCATAATCTAGACACCACTCTGCAAACTAAAAAGAAAGCATTTCTTTTTAAGAACAGAATTTTCATTTGGTGAAAGGCAATAAATGAGATACTACAATGAATTCACCAGAACCGACAGTGTTTTGGAGCAAAGGCTCAGGACTGGACAACAGTGCTACTTCCTCTCAGAGGGCTGAGTCCTGGCAAGTTATGTTATGCACCTCTCTTCACCTGTTTTTTCATCTGCAAGGTGGTATCTACCTCATCCATTGTCTGTCCTTTCTAGGCATCTGCAGCTGCCCACCCAGTTATCATTTCCAAAGTAACTCCAAACACTTGCTTTGAATTAAAAAACCTGGCTCGGAAGCTGCCTGCAGAATCAGCTGCTGGCTCCCCCTGGTGATCTCCTGTGGCAGCAGCATCAGCCCTGGCCAGGGCCATTCTCAGTCACACTCTTGTTAAACATAATCTATACTCTCACTTTTCTTATCTCCGATTCCTCCACTTTCTTATGCACCATTGTTTGACAGTTCCACCTTGAAAATGCCTCATCCCTTAGCTTTGTCAGTGCTTTCCTTTTGAGAAATATTGAGTTCTCAAACCTCTTCAATGGGATTTTTCTATATTATAATAAACTTCCATTTTATTTTCTTAAGGTAACAATATCAAATTTAGCACATGTTTAATAACACTTGTTCTGTTTTGTATTTTCCAAATATGCTTCCTCTTTTCCCTTGTTTGATCAGCATCTACCTGGTTTTCTTAGACAATAGGAAAACACTCAGGTATTTCCATCCTCTCCACCCTAAAGAAAAAAAAGATGGCACTAAATTCTGTTCTACATCCTAAACTCTCCATTCTACCATATTTTTTCTTGCATTAATGTGTGGAAACACAACCTCTGCCTCATCCTTCCGAATGGAACTAAAGCCATCTTTCTAAAAGAGGAGTCTCAAAATGGACCCCCATCTTTCAAATCAGTAATCAATGCCAGCTGATTATTAAAATCACCTGCAGAGGCTTTAAACTATTAGTGACACTCTCACTTAATTGGTCTACAGTGGGCCCTGTGATGTCAGGTGTTACTGAGGTTGAAAACAGCTAACAGACTTATTTTCTTTGGCTTCTGCCCGCATAACTTTATCTCTTACTAACCACTCTTCCTATGACATCCCACAACACTGAAGTGCTCAGAGTTTCCAGAATACACAGAGCTATTTTGTGCCTTGGCAGTTTTATACAAGTTATTCTCCCTATCAGGAATGTATTCCACCCCTTAGCCACCTGGCTCCTGGTCCACCTGAGATTTCATCATTGAAGAACCAGCTGTATCTTAATCCTACTAAAGTCTTCAAAGTCCCCATATTTACTTAAACATCTACAATTATAATTATCAAGGCTGATGCAGCCTGCAGAACCTAGCTGCTTTATACCTCTGTCTCTCCTGTTCTGGCCTCCCCACTCCAAGCTGCAGCTACCACAAACTTCACACAGCTCCCCTGTGTGCTTCACAACTCCAGAGCAGTTTCTTCTCTTTTTAATACCTTACCTCATACCTCTTTGCTGAACTTCTAGCTGTTCTGTAGGTACTAGTCTGGATGTTTTTTCTGAACTCCCACACCCAGTTTGGGCCCTAACCTCTTAATGTGCTTCTACAGTATCCACAATCCTCTGTGTGTGTTTACTCAGAGGCACCAACAAGAGGTATATTCTATTTCAGTTAAGAAAATGACTATAATTGTAACAGATGTTCATTGATCAAAAGGTATAAAGAATATATCAACCATAAGGACTCCATCTATCAAGACTCATGGTAAATATTTTCTTCCGACATCTATTCTATGAAATGCGTATAATAATGAATATACTAGCAAATATTTATTTGAAAAGGAAGCTTGAAGAAATGTGCTTAAATTCATAAAATTACACAGTTTTATAACAAATAAACACAGTATAGATGGTAATTCTAACCAAGTAGTGTGACTCCAAAACTCCTGTTCTTCAGAGGTCATTTACATGTGTTATTCCTGTCTTATAGACAAGTACACCACAGTATAGGGAGGCCAGGGACAAAACTTTGCCAGAAGAAACCAGGGGTTTTCCCTTGTGATCAAAAAAGGAAGCAGATTTGGAAGGTAGAAAGCAAATTAAGTTTTAGTAAACATGTGTAAGGTGGGAAAAACAGGTTAAAAGAAGAAAAAGAACTGTTTGGGGACTTTGTACAAGTTCTGGGGTGTTCAGATGTCCTCACCTTGCAAGCTCGGTAGAGATACTTTTTATCCTTTGTGACATGGTAAAGAGACAGAAAAGAATAGCCATTCCCAGAGGTCCCATGGCAAATCCCGTATCCCTTTCGGAGCAAACCTCGCTGCCAAATCACATCACTACACTCCATGGCCTCTTTCAGGTATTTCTCCTCCTTAAAAACCTGGGCAGTAAAAAACCAAAACAGTGTTAATAAGATGGTCTCAATGAAGAGTTAGTAAAATCCTTTTCCTTCCTGGTTAGAAAATTACACAATGTTAGGAAAACAGAAATGGCACTAGGGTAAAAACAAACAAACAAAAAACCAATAGCACTAACAGTGCATCATTTCTTACAGTCCCAATCAGCCTATTCTTCTTGGCTTCCTCTTTTGTAGTTCGGCATAAGTAATCCTAAAATTAAGCTTAAAAATTAGTTATTAAAGTTACCCAAAAAAATTAGTTATTAAAGTATGAACAGCTGCAGAGACAAACAGGTACAGTGAAGGCAAATGACTGACAGAAGAAGCTGTTTGTTTTTACTCCCCAGACTCCCTTATAAATTTTCTTCTCTCTTTTCTTATTTTTCATTTATTGCTTCCCTGGTCCTTTTCTCAGAGTCTGTTAATAATTTCAACAGCTTATGAACTCATGCCATTTAAGTACAAATGAGTTTGGACAATGAAAGACATGAAGGCCATTAGACATGATCTACTTATGGTGGCATACAGGATCCATCTACTAATGACTAATGAGTACTGGCACTAGGCCGAGAAGAGCTCTGAGGCTGTAGGCAGGGAAAGGCACTTCTAATCATGAAGGGAATTAAATGTTTCCAAAATTAGGCTGCCAGAGTCAAAAGAAAGATTCCATTTCTTCACCATGATGGCAACTGAAAGGCAGGTTCTGGGGTCAGACTGTCTGACTCTGAATCCTACTTCTGTCATCTTTCAATTTGGACAAGTCACTTAATCATTATGTCTTAGTTTTCTGTAAAAAGATAACCTTTCCTTATTTTTATTTGTTTTTTTTTAGTTACACATGACAGTAGAATCTATTTTAATATACAAACATGGACTATATCTTATTCTAATTAGGATCTCAGTCTTGTGGTTGTACATGATGTGGAGATTCATTGTGGTGTATCCATATATGTACATAGGAAAGTTATGTCAGATTTATTCCATTGTCTTTCCTATTCCTATCCACCTTCCCTTCATTCCCCTTTGTCTAATCCAATGAACTTCTATTGTCTGCCTTCCTTAATGTGGGTTAGTATCCTCATAACAGGAGAACATTTGACCTTTGGTTTAGGGAGACTGGCTATTTCCACTTAGCATGATAGTCTCCAGATTCATCCATTTACCAGCAAATATCACAAAGTCATTCTTTTTTATGGCTGAGTAATATTCCATTGTGTATGTAAGCCACAATTTCTTTATCCATTCATCTGTAGATAGGCACCTAGGTTGGTTCCATAGCTTAGCTATTGTGAATTATGCTGCTATAAACATTGATGTGGGTGTGTCAATATAGTATGCTGATTTTAACTCCTTTAGACATATAACAAGGAGTGAAATAACTGGATCAAATGGTGGTTCCGTTCTTAGTTTTTCTGAGGAATCTCCACAGTACTTTCCAGAGTAGTTGCCCTAATTTGCAGTTCCACCAACATTTTTTCACTTCAAAGGCTTGTTGTGAGAATTAAAAAGAGATAATGTACAAGAAGCTCTTAGAACAGCACCTGGCACATAGCATGTACTAACTACTTCCTATCTTTAATTAACCATTATTTTTTCTGTTATCCTGCCAGCATGACTACTTTACATTGTTAGCTGCATCTTAAATCCCTTGAGAATTAACTGTAAAATGAAACACCTTAACCTATTTTAAAGAAATACTAGGTCAAAGCTAACAGCTGAAAAGACACTAAGAGGCTATGTCTTGAAATCATGTGTGTGAAGAAACCCTAAACCTCTTTCTAGTGGTTGCTAGGGGCATGTGAAGATTGAAAGAGAAATCAGTTAGGTGTTTTTCACTGTCCTGCTGTATTGGTAGGACTGAGGATGCTATGGAAGGCCCATAATGCTACCTATACTTTTAGTTTCCCTGCCCCCATCATATACTCTGATGATTCTCTATGTGAAAAGCAATTTTTAATAATGAGACATTTGAAAAATTAAGTATTATAGAAAATAAGCTCCCAGATTTAATCACAGATTCATGATCTTTACATTGTAGCAATCATAATTAGATGGGAAAATCCACTGACTTAGCCATATTCTTTTTCCTGATGGTAGATTTCTGAGATGTGTCAGGATAAATGAGACAGCAATGCATAAGAAATCATAAGGGATCTGGAGTCAGGAGACTTAAGAGTCATTCTTCTATATCTACTAATATTGTGATCTTGGGCAAGTCATGTGACTTCTCTGGCCCTGTTTGCTTACGTTATAAAATTGATTAACTCTGAGATGACTCTAATGTTGCAAACAGAGATAAGAGTCTTAGGTAACGATTAAAAATATCTTAAAGGATGCAAAGGAAATGAAGGTGAAATAAAGACAAGTCTAAGATAAATGAAAATCAATTTGTTGTCACCAAACCTGGACTACAAGAAATGCTAAAGCAAGGTCTATAGGCGAAAGGAAACACAAATCTGAACCTGTAGGAAAGTATGCAATACACTAAAAATATATGTGAATAAATACCAAAACTACCTTAATTTCTTTTAAATACTTAGGAAATATTTAAATAAAAAATATAATTTGTTTTCTAATTTAAAATTTATAATTTTAAATTATACTGGGGTTTATAATATTTGTAGGTGTAGTATATATGGCACAGTGTAAAGAAAGGGAGTAAATAGAACTATTAAGCTTACCAGTTATTACATCCTATGTGAAGTGATATATTATTCTACACGGAGTGTGAAATGTTAAGGATATACATGCAATCCCTATAGCAACCACTAAAATTAAAAATGTTCAAATAGATAAGAGTCAACAGAGAAACTAAAATGGAATTCTAAAAAATATTCAGCAAATATATCTTAGCTCCATGAAAAATAAAATGTCAGAACTAAATCTAACTATATGAATAATTACATTAAACATACATGAACTAAACATTACAAATAAAAGGCTGAGATATTTAGACTGGATATAAGTCCATAGGTTGAAAACAAAAATATATATCATGCAAACAGTAGTTATAAAATTCTGGAATGACTATATTAATATTAGGCAAAGCAGACTTAAGACAGAATATTATCAGAGATAAAGGGGATATTTTATATTGATAAAAGAGCCAATTCATTAGGAATACATTAGTATCATAAATTTGTATATGTCTAATAAGAGAGTTTCAAAATACATGAAGCAAAAACTGACAAATTTAAAGATTGTAGCAGTCCTCCTCGCCATAACTGAGAGAAAAAAAAAATTGACTAAACATATCTAAAAGGCCATAGAACAGGGGTTATCAAACTATAAGCCCATATGATCTGATTCTGTAAATAAAATTTACTGGGAACATAGTCATGATCATTCATCTATATAATCTATGCCTGTTCTTGTGCTCTACTGACAGCACTGAGTAATTGCACAAGAAATGGTATGGACCCCAAGACTAAAACATGTATTATCCAAGTCTTTACAGAAAGTATGTAGACCCCTAACACAAAATAACTGAATAAAACCTTCAACTATCTAACCTAATTAACATTTGAAGAAAACTATGCCAAGTAACTAAAGAATATACACTCTGATCAAAGTGCCTGATACATCATTCATCAAGACAGACTAAATATTGAGTCATAAAATGAGTCTAAATAAAATTTAAAAGATTTAAGTATGTTATCTGACAACTATGGAATAAAATAACAATAAAATAAAATATCTAGACAAATTTCAACTCTCTGAAAATACATAATGTACTTCTAAATAATCCATGGACCAGAAGAGAAATCATAAACTAAATAAAAAAGAAAAAAAATTCAGAGATAAAGCTAAAGCACTGCTTAAATGGAAATGTAAAGTTTTAGATGCTGTATTCAGGGGAAAATACGAAAGGTATAAAAATCAATGACCTAAGGTTCTATTTTTTAAAAATTTAAAAAAGAAGAGAAAATTAATATCAGGTGGAAGTTTTAAAGGAAATAGAAGAAAAGCAAAATGAGGTAAAAAACAGAACCCAAAGAAAATTAACAGAGTTAAACATTGTTTGTTTGAAAGACTAACAAAACTGATAGGGGAAGTGGGGGGAGAGGGAAAGATAGAGAAAACAAATTATCGATATCAAGAATGAAAGAGAAGCATCACTACAGACTCTACAGACAGTAAAAAGATAATAAGGGACTTTTAGGAATAACATTGTGCCAGTAAATTTCACAACTTAGGTAAATGAGAAGATATATTGAAAAAAATTAAAACTGATACAAAATGAATTCAATTAAAGAAACTGAATTTCTAATAAAAATTATGACACAAATATATGGAATATGAATTTTATATAAAATATTTCTGAATATAAAAGGAGGAAACCCTTTATAATTGATTATGTAATCAGACATCAAAATCAACAAAAATGTTAAAGGAAAAGAAAATTATAGACTAACAGAGACATAAAAATCTTTAACAAAATATTAGTAAACTAAATCTGACCATATTAAAAAGGATAATAAAAATCATGTTCAATTGAAGTTTGCAATAAGAACACATATTGGCTTAACTTTCGAAAAGCAGTCAACATAAGCCCACTACAGTAACAAAATAAATGGAGGACAACTATAGAAGCATTTGAATAACTGAAGGGAAAAAAAGAGAAAATTCAACATCCATTCATGATAAACAGTAATGAAAGAAAAATCCTCAATCTGATAAATAACATTTAAGAAAAACAGTTAAGTATATTTGATGATGAAATATTTAATTTTTTCTCTATGGCTGGGATCCTTTCTATTTAATATTGTATTATAGATCCTAAGCAATGCAATAAATAAAGGGGAAAAAAGCATAAATTGGAAAAAAAGAAGTAAAACTGTCTATATGTATACAATGATAGTATTGAGGAATTACAGAAAGCTACTAGAATTACTATGTGAATTTAGCAAGCTTACAGAATATCAAGTCAATATACGAAAATCAATTCTATTTCTATACACAAGCAATGAATAGTTAAAAACATGTAAATAAATGAAATACTTAGAAATAAGTTTAAAAAAATATGTGGAAGACCCGTACATAAAAAAAAAACACTATAAAACACTATAAAATATAAATAAATGGAGAGAGATAAAATATTTGTAGATAGGAAAACTTAGTACTATGAAGATGACACTTCTGTCTAAATTGATCTTTAGATTCAATGCACTCTCACTCAAAATACTAACAGGCTTCTTTTTTAGAAGTTGATAAGCTGACACTAAAATTTATAGAGGAGTTCAAAAAGAACCTTAGAATATTCAAATTGGTTTTGAAAAATAACAACAAAATTAGAAGTCTTAAGTTACCAGACTCAAAACTTAAAGCTAAAGTAAGCAAAACAGCATTATAATAAGACAGTATCAAAAAGACAAGTCAAAATAACAAAATAAAATTTTAAATAAAAAGAAGTCCATACTTCTTAGGTCATTCCATATTTTTATAAAGGCACCAAATGAATCAAGTGGGAGAAATTGTAACACAGAATATTCAACAAATAATGCAGGAACAATCCTTAAGATCAAAATAAAGCAACTCATTCCTTTCATAATATAATAAACAAAATTTGAAATAGGCCTAAATGTAAAAGTCTAAAACCAAAAAGCTTCCAGAAGAATATTATCTGTATAACTTGAGGGTAGACAGGTTTTTGGACAAGACACACAAAATTAATTACCACAAAAGAGTGATAAAATTTACTGAAATTAAAAACACTATTAATCAACAGATACCAGAAAGAATATTATTATGGTTTGGACATGAGGCGTCCCAAAAAATCTCATGCTAGGCAATGCAGGAATATTCAGAAGTTAAATGATTACATTACAAGAGCTGTAACCTCATCAGTGGATTAATCCATTTGATGAATTAATAATCTGAATTAACTACTGGGTCCTAATTGTAGGCAGGTAGGGCAGGGCTGGAGGAAGTAGGACACTACAGCATCCCCTTGGGGATTATATCCTTTGGCCTTCTCACAGGCAAGCTCATACTCCCTCTCCCACACCCCTTTGTGTTTCCTGACTGCCATGAGTTGAGCTGCTTTCCTTCACCACTCCCTTCCACCATGATGTTCTGCCTCTGCTTCACGTCAGGCCCACAGAGATGGAGTCTGGCCTACCATGGTCCGAACCTCTGAAACCATGAGCCTAAAATAAACTTTTCCTTCTCTATGTTGTTCTTGTCAGGTATTTTGATCATAGTGACACAAAGCTGACTAACAAAAATGATTAGAAGAACTCAGACTGGGAGAGACTATTTGTGAAATATATAGCTTACAAAAAAATCAGAAATATATGAAGAATTCTTATAACTCAATAATAAAGCAGCCCCTCAGCAGGGAGTCACCAGGAGGACTGGGCTACAAAAGCTGATACTCTTAAAGGTGAAAGAGGAAAAGGAGTTTTAAAAATAAAAACTTTGAATTTTGGTAGTCTTACATCTGATATGAATAATAAAGGATACATGTTTGTACTGTCAATATTATGCTAACACCTTACTATTGAAAATTTTGTAATATTAATACATACATTATCATGCCACTGATGTTACAATTGCTCTAATATACAAATAAGAAGAGGCAGTGATTTGAACAGAATTATGTTTTAATTTTAAAGCTAGAATAATGTTAAGATGAATCATTAAATTCTCCTGATTTTTAAGAGTAAAAGTCTAAAACCAAAAAGCTTCCAGAAGAATATTATCTATGCTGTCAACAAATACCATAACTGAGTCATTTCTGAATGTTCATATTTTTTATACTATTTAAAAATTTGGGGTGCTATTGTTGAAAGAGAACTAAAAGAATTCTGAGAAACTATTCTATATCATAAGTTAATTTACCACAATTTTTTTCTAAGGAATTTATTATAGTTAGTCATAAAGGGAAAAAAGAATCGAATTCAGTTAACAGTTTTTGTTATTTTCATGTAGCAATGTGAATTCTGCTCCATTAATTCTATCTATCTCTTCAAAACAAAAGAACTTATTAAAATATTGCATTGATTAGAGTAATTATTGTAGTTATATTTGTATACTTTTGTTACTAAATGAGCAATAATCTCCAACATCAATTATTATAAAGATGTATTAAAATAAAAATAAATTAATCAGTGGAGATACTGCCTATTTTCCCATAATACCCCAGAGGTACAAAACTTGAACGCCACTCCTATTTCTTGTGAATAATTTTGTTAACAATTTTAAAAGCCCTTGAATGATAATTATTATAATCCAGCAATAAATGCTTATGCAAGCAAGGGTATAATATAATGTGAAGACAAAAAAATAATTGGTTCTCATTCTTTCTACTGTTTTCTTGGATACTAACACTCATTAGAATGAAAATCATCAGTCTTGTCATGTATTTCTTTTACACATGAATGTAAACTCTGTTAAACATGCAAACACACTCACAATACTGGTCACAGCAGCAGTGAATAGTGAAATAAAGACATTTTCTATTTATTTTATAAAAATATTAATTCAAAACGGCTTTTCATGTGCGGTTGAATGGGCTTACCAAAATCAAACTGAAACTTGGTGAGAACTGGATCCTGTACAGTGGAAGCTTATGAAACCAACTGAAATACTGACCTTATATGCTTGCATGAGCATATGGATGACACCTGGGGCACCATGGCACCAGTGGACCAATCGATCTGTTTCATTGCTTAATGAAGATGGATAATTCCCAGATCGAAATTTCTTGTGGCGTACATAATCGATACTAGGCTTCACCATTTCTATTAAGGTTTCTTGGTCCACTTTTGCTGCAGGCTTTAAAGAAACAAAAACAAAACAACTTTTCGGAATTTTTTTAAAAATCTTTGTATCAATGGCTAATATAATAAAGCATAAATTACCTGGAATACTGAGGAACATATAAAATTAGAATTAATTCAATTATTTGTTTTAAATACTTAGGCGGACCTTTGTTTATTTCAACTCTTTTTAAAATCTCTCTAAAATTTATTAGTGTCAGAAAAGATATATTTTATTTTTACTTTGATGCATTAGGATCGTCAACTTGAAGTCATTATATAGCAAGGGAGAAGACTAAGCTGAATCTCTAATGAATCCAGGACTATGAAGGATTTTATTTAGATGTTTTTCTTGTCCAAAAACTGATCCTTGATTTCTTCCCATGTGGCTCTTATCCCAATTCTCCCAAATCTATTAACTGGCTTTGTCACTGCAGGCAAATAATAAAAATAACAATAATAATATTATTATAGAAAAATTGTTATATTTATTATTATATAATATTATATCATTGTTATTACATTATTACTAATTATTTTGGTACTGGTTATTGTTGTTGTTGTTGTTATTATTATTATTATTATTATTATTAATTATTTTGGTACTGGAATTAAACCCAGGGACATTTTACCACTAAGCTATATCCCCAATCCCTTTTATTTTTTTGTTTTGAAACAGGATCTCACTAAGTTGCTGAGGATCTTGCTAAACTGCTGAGGCTGACTTCAAATTTGCCATCTTCCTGTCTGAGCCTCCCAATTATCCAGAGGTAATATAAATTATAATGGTAAAGTGAAATACTACTTACAATTGTTATTATTATTGTTCTATTAAAGCCAAAGAAAATCTACAACATGATGTTTTCTTCTATAACACAAAATGAAAACCTCATTTCTTTAACAAAAAGTTAATTTTGTTAAACACAAAGAAAAGAGATAATTTTAAGGATCATTAATGTTTCTAAATTTCACATAGGTAAAACTACTTTATTATGTTTTTAATTTAATTTACATATTAGAAAATCTTTAAGTGTTTTCCTTGACACACATTTAGAGATTAGATTTTTGTTTTTCAAACTACAGGTCATGCAATATATTTCCAAAAAGGCTAACCAGTAATTTTAAAAAGTTATTTTACACAGATAATGTAATCAAATAGTTTTACATGTCAAAAAAATGTTTGGGAAGCTTATTTCAAAAAGCAACATTCAGTGTTTCTTCCCAGGATACAACTGTGATTTTGTCTGTATTTTTGCTGTATCTTCATATTTCCTGAATATTTCTAAAAATGCCTGCATAGTGTAGACTTACTAATTCTAGACTTCATCTATGGGATTCTCCTGTGGCAGGCAGATGATTATAATTTCCCTTTTCAAATCATCCCAAGAGAATTTTATTCCATCATCAATTTTTGTTACATTCATATTCACTGTGCTCTTTACAGACTGAACTATGTAAATATTCCTTGCTGCTTAGACAAGGAACATACTAAAGTACATATCTTAAGAGTTTTATTACTTTCAGTTTTTCCAAAAGTTAGTAACTTTCTCACTCTTTTATTTAGTTGGTTTTCTTTGAATTGCCATCTAAGTTTTTTTCTCATGCACAAACAGCTTGCAAAGTCTCTCAATTTAATTTTCCACAAAGTCAAAACTGCTGTGATTTTTTTTTTTCCTCATGGAGAAAGCTCTTCAATCTCATTCCATTCTTTTTTTTTTTAAATTGGTTGTTCAAAACATTACAAAGCTCTTGACATATCATTTTTCATACATTTGATTCAAGTGGGTTATGAACTCCCATTTTTACCCCAAATACAGATTGCAGAATCACATCGGTTACACATCCACGTTTTTACATAATGCCATATTAGTGACTGTTGTATTCTGCTGCCTTTCCTATCCCCTACTATCCCCCCTCCCCTCCTCTCCCATCTTCTCTCTCTACCCCATCTGCTGTACTTCAATTCTCTCCCTTGTTTTTTTTTTTTTTTCCCCATCACAACCTCTTATATGTAATTTTATGTAACAATGAGGGTTCTCCTTCCATTTCCCTGCAATTTTCTCATTCCATTCTTAATCAGTTATTTTCTAGGACTTGTGTACAACTGCTGTACTGGGACAGCCACCTGTCAACTTCATGGAGATTCCATTCCCTCTCTCTTGTACAGGGTCTCTTTTCCTGGATTTCTCTCTTAGTTAACTCCCTTCTAGTAGCTTCCTGAGATAGGATGCAGGGGAATTAATTTTTTTCTTTTTTTTTTTTTTAAGAGAGAGAGAGAGAGAGAGAGAGAGAGAGAGAGAATTTTTTAATATTTATTTATTTTTTTTTAGTTTTCGGCAGACACAAACATCTTTGTTTGTATGTGGTGCTGAGGATCGAACCCGAGCCGCACGCATGCCAGGCGAGCATGCTACCGCTTGAGCCACATCCCCAGCCCATGGAATTAATTTTTTGAGACTGGGATATTTAAAACTGTCTTTGTTCTAGCCCACATTTAAATGATAATTTTCAATGCTGAAAATCATTTTTACTCAGAACATGAAGGCGTTTCCATTTCTCTTTTAGCTTCAATGAAACTGCTGTAAATTCCAATGCTATTTTGATGTCCAACCTTGGTATATGACCTTTTTCCTCTTGAAATTTTAACATATCTCTTTAAGTTTTCACAATAATGTGGTATGGATAATTTCCCCCATTTATTATATAACAACTTGGTAAGTTTTTTCCAATATGACAACTCATGTCCCTTGGTTCTAGAACATATTCTTTTACTACATTTCTTAAAATTTCCTCCCTGCTATTTTGTATTCTCCTTTACCAGAAGTCCTATTAATTAGATGTTGGACCTCCTAAATTAATCCTATTATTTTATTTTCCCACTGTTTATTTCTGTCTGCTAAGATATTTGATTTCCAAACATTGTTATAATTAAAAAAAAAAAAACCAACTATTTTATGTGTGTGTATGTGTGTGTCTTGTTTTTGTTTTATTTTGTTTTGTTTTTGGTGGTGCTGGGGATTGAACCCAGGGCCTTGTGCATGAGAGGTAAGTACTCTACCAACTAAGCTATATCCCCAGCCCCAACTATTATATTTTTAATTTTTAGAGCTCTTTCTTATTCCTCAAATGTTTCTTGTATGCAACTGCTTCTCTTATTTGCCTAAAGACATTAATTATTAATTTGATTTCTGTGATGTTTTCTTTTTCTTCCTAGAATATATGTTCTGAGTTTCTTTTTTCAACTTGTTTATTAGGTCTCTCATCTTTCAAGTTGGAGACTTCCTTCAAATGTCTGAAAATTCTTTGGCTGTTTGTCTATATTTTGTATAAAGTAGTACAAAGCTCACTGAATATACTCTAAACACGGGGGGATTTGTTCAATAGTAGAAATCACTTTAGAGTTGTAGGATAATTTTTTAATCGGGATTCTACAAACAAAACAGAACCAATATGGTATATTATACAGAGAAAAAGACTTTTAAGAAACTGACCAATACATTTAAGAGTCTTGAGTCCACATATGAATGGCATTATCAGAAGGCTGAAGACTCAAAAGTGTTGCAGTTCATATCCAAAGGCAGTCTGCTAAATAACCAGAAAGGGCTAATGTTGCAGATGAAGTGAATTCTAAATACAGTCTGCTGGAAGATAGCCTCTTACTTAGCAGGGAAGTTCTGCCTTTGGTTGTATTTAAACATTCTATTGATTGGATAAAGGTCCCCACTCATATTATGGAAGACAATTTACTATACTCAAAGTCCACCAATTTAAATGTAAAACTTATTCAAAACCACCCTCACAGAAACATCCAGAATAATTTTTGACCAAATATCTGGGTACCATGGCTCAGCCAAGCTGACACATATAATTGATCATCACAGATTTCTAGCTAACTTTTTTAATGGGAACTTTCAAATACCTATGTCTGTAAATCTTTTATCTGAGCTTGTTTTCTCAAAAAAAGGAGACTTCAATCCCTCATCTGGTGTATGGGTGGAGTTTTCATTGGCCAGGGGTTGAGGATATGTCTGAGGCTGGCTGTGACAAAGGGTGATCTCATCATACAACTACTTAGACTTTCATTCAAGCCCCCTTCACCAACCTCTATACCTGGCATCTCTAATCAAAATAGTAGATTCAATTCTTTCAGACTATTGCAGTTTAGACATGAAGTGTCCCCCAAAAGCTCATGTGTGAGATAATGCAAGAAGGTTTAGATGTGAAATGATTGGGTTATGAGAGCCTTAACTCAATCAGTGAAGTAATCCTCTGATAGGGATTTACTGAGTGGTAAGGATGACAGGTAGGATGTGGCTTGGGGAGGTGGGTCACTGGGAGCATGTATTAGGGGTATATGTTCTGTCCCTGGAAAGTGGAGTCTCTGCTTCTTGGTGGCCATGTCCTGACCTGTTTTCCTCTGTCACATTATTCCACCATGATGTTCTGCCTCACCTTGAGCCTTAAGGAATAAAGCCATCTATCTATGGACTGAGATCTCTGAAACTATAAACCCCCCAAATAAACTTTTCCTCCTCTAATTGCTCTTGTTGGGTCTTTTGGTCACAGCAACAAAAAAGCTGACTAAAACAGACCTAAATCCTCTTTGTTTCCAGCAGGAGTTAAGAAGTGAAATAGTCATCTCACTTTGCTGGATGGAGATACTTACAAAGAACCAATGGCTCTTTATAAAAATGTTTGTAGAGCCCTCTGCTGACCTGCCCTCACTGCCATATAGACACATGTCTCATGCCACTTTTATGGTACATGTCACTTGAAATTCCTTAGTCATAGGGTTTGCAAGAGAAACTGGCTTGATTCCTTCTGGCAGCCTCTAATTTATTAAGGCACTTTTGTGTGATCTTCTTCTATCCTGTTAGGACATTTGTCATTCATTCACCTCTTTCCAGTTTATATATTCACAGTTTGGGGCTCTAGGTGTCTTCTAGTTTCATTTTGGAATGTGAGTTTCTACTTTATTATTATTATTATTATTTTGAAAGGATTTTCAAGAGAAGAATTGTTTTAGTTATGCCATTATGAATTTGAAGTTCTATTTAAGTGACAGCACACAATGGATAATACCACCACAGGACAATGCTACCACACCAGCAGGAGATGTGGAACAGGGGAAAGAAATTCAGAGTCAGCTCTCAGCCAGTGCCATCACACTGCTTAACATCTCTTTAAAAAGATAAGGATTTCTAAATAGAATACTAAATAGTGTAAACATGTTTCTCATTTTAAAAGCACAAGAGGGGAAAATTTCATGATTTGTATTTCTCTCAAAGAAACTCCTAATATGCAACAAAATCAACCTCAACATCTGAATCTAAACCACATCAGTGGGGATCTCACATTATTATGTTTTTCCTAATGGTTTTATGATTTCAGGTTCCTGAGCTACCAGTTAAAACACCTTTCTGGAGTATATCCTGTGATGTTTAATTTTGTGTGTTCACTTGACTAGGTCAATGAGGTACCCCAATACATTATTTCTGGGTATGTCTGAGAGTGTCTTTCTGATTGAGATTAGCAATTGAATTGCTGGACTCAGTAAAGTAGGTGGTCCTTTTCAATGTGTGTAGGCTTCATCTAATCCACTGAAGTCATAAGTAGAACAAAGGAGGAAGAAGTTGCACCTTCCCACCAGCCTGCCTACTTAGAACAAAGACATCAGTCTCTTCCTGACCCTTGACTATGATTTACACCATCAGGTCCCAAGCTTAGAAATGGCAGACAGTGGGACTTCTCAGCCACCATAATTGCACAAAGTCAATTCCTATAATAAATTCCTTCAGGTATGTGTACGTGTATTTACATCTCCTACTGGTTCTGTTTCTCTAGAAAACTTTAACACACAAACATCACACTATAACATCTCTTTAAAAAAAAAAGTAACTGTTATTTCAAAATTCAGATGAAATTCTGGTTATTTTAGAAATGCATGCTGCACTTTAAAGAAAATCCACAACTGGAATATATGCAAGTTTACTTTTACAGTAATTAACAAAGACTGCTAATTACCAGAAAAGAAAGTTTTGGTCCTGTTTAGATATGAATTTTCTATTTTATTTTTAGCATTTATTTTTTAGTTATAGGTAGACACAATACCCTTATTTAATTTTCATGTGGTGCTGAGGATCGAATCCAGTACCTCATGCATGCTAGGCAAGTGCTCTACCTCTGAGCCACAATCCCAGCTCTCTATTTTCCTTTAGGCATAGTGTAGTATTTTTTTTCAAAAAGGAAAATAAAAAAATTTAAAATAGGCTTTCAGTCAAAAGATATCTAAATTCTAATCCTTATTCCTTGACTCACTAGCTTTGTGATTCTGTAAAATAAAGAAAGGCATAATTTTAAGAAAGAAAAAGGAGGTTGTATACTTAGCACAGAAGAGGGCCTTAGGCCATGAGGCTAGAAGCATCCGTCGAGGTAATACCTGGGATGGGTTTCTAACTACTTCACAGAAGTACAGGTTCTTAATTCAGTAGGTGACAAGGATAATTAAGAGACAAGATCATAACCATAGCAATAAACTTGTTAAAATTTCAGAACATGACTGATAAGTTGGGGGCATCTGAATATAACAAAAGTTCTACCTCAGTTTGGATTCAAGAGGCCCTTTTACTCCCTGAAGATCCATCTGTATTAAAAAAGTTTCCACTTCAATCAGCAGGAGGACAAGGAAAGAAGAAAAGCATGGGTGAAAAACAACTAAATGTACTCTTGGGAAGCAGAGTTTAAGCAACTGTGATTCAAAGGAGGAGCTTGTTTCAATTTAGCCAGCTTGGTTTGTCTAAAAATTTCATTTCCCATTTGTATTTGACCTAATATATTATAATATAGTTGCTGTATTAGTATTTCAGAATTTTGTTATTTACCTGCATTAACATATAGTAGATCCCAGACATGCCATGGGCTGCTCCAACATACTGCTTCCTGTGCCACTGATACAATAGGGGACAGCGATCAGTTTTTCTTTCTTCTCTTGATAAGGTTTTACCGGATTCAATAATAGCATTTACTACCTACAGAGGCAATGAGATTCCATAAATCTAAAAAATTGTACATGCATGCTTGTTCTGGTCTAATTAACATTAACACTTATATATACATAGAGAGATTATTAATCTAAAACTCTTTAAACAATTAGTAGCTAACATAGTCATTTTTATCTCATAAATTAATAAATGTGGGCAGAGAGGACTTAGAAGACAACATCAGAGTAGAAAAAGAAAAAAAAGTCTAAGAAAGGAATCAAAAGTTCTTTATAAAAAAACGTCAACTAAAATCTGGAAAAACTTCCCATTAAAAATGGTCCCAGACTTTTTAGTTGCTTTGTAGCTGCAATGTTTTGCCCAAAAGACTGGCAAACACACTTTTCAGGAAAGACTGTAGGACTTAGATTCACTGATGAAAAGCTCATGCAATGTGGTCAGTTGTGGCTTGAAGGATTTTAGTCAGATCACAAAACATCATGTTTGGAATGACTATGTGGCAAAGACACTAATTGTTTCCTCAAACCCATGTTCTTCTCATCATTTTGGTGGAGTACTCCAAGTTTTAGCTGGCATCTGGTCTCCTACCTAGAAACAGCTGAACACAGTCATTTTTTCTAATTTCTGGCAAAGGGATGTGAGCAGACATGAGATGGGCAACTTACAGATGGAGTCCTTACAAAGGATGATGCTTTTTCTCCCTTTCCCTTCTTCCTAGGACTAAGGGTACCAAACTAGCATTGGTCATACAGGTAAAGATATGCTTTTAGCAAAGCAGAGTAAAAAGAAGATAGGTCACCAGATATAGTCACCTCAGAGAACTCACAAAAGAAAAATAAACATTCAAACTTTTTGAAGCTGCTGTTGTTGCTTGGTTCCTGTAAAACCAGTTGTATCAATAAAAGATGAAGAAGAATATAGATTTTTGCTTTTTAGTACTGGGGATTGAACTCAGGGGCACTCTACCACTGAGCCACGTCCCCAGCTCTATTTTGAATTTTATTTAGAGACAGGGTGGAGTTGCTTAGCATCTCGATTTTGCTGAGGCTGGCTTTGAACTCTTTATCCTCCTGTCTCAGCCTCCCCAGCTGCTGGGATTATAGGCGAGCACCATGACGCCCAGCAGATATTGAGTTTTTAAAAAAATATCCCTAAAAAGAAAAGCAGCTAATTTGTAATTTTTATGAGATGTTTTAAAAAGCTAATTCAACCTAGAAGCAGAGCCTTAATACTAACATAACTCCATGCTAACAGATAGCTTTGAATACCCACAGGTGTCAGTAATCCCACAATACCTCTTTAATGGCTGATTCACACACAGTGCCAGGGCCAATCTCCGTGTTCAGGTACAGTAAGGCATACAGATAACCTGCTCGACCGAACAGCAGCTCATCAGGAAGCTCTGATTCTTGGCAGACAATGCTTCTGTGCAGCTGCAAAAGTCTAAGCAACAAGAAAAAATTCTGTTTTCTCAAATGTGCATGTCTAAAATGCTTCTTTCCGAAACAAGTAACTCATCACTTTAGAAATGTATTTATTTTTAAATTTAAAACTATGATTTAAAAAAGCACCCCAAATTCCCAAAACAACTAGAATTTCTCCACTTTACTAATTCTTCTTTCAAATGTAAAAATTATGAGCAAAAAAACCTGATCTGAGAATATAGCTCAGTGGTAGAGTGTGTGCCTAGCATGTACAAGTGTAACAAGGACTTAGACTTCAACTTAGACTTCACTTTTGTCTGCAAATACCCCATGGGTGACTAAAAGCAGAAGCGAAGATTTGGCCTCTCTGCCTCCATTATCTAAGTCTGGTGGATAAACATCTTATAATGAGTTGAAGCTTTCCTTCACCCCATCCCTTGCCCAGCAACGTCAAGTGCAATTTTCTTATTTGGAAAAGGCCCAGCCTGACCAGTCATGAGATAATGATGGACAAAGCACGCCTGATCAAGATCACCTATTTGGCAGTTAAGAAAAGCCTTCAACAGTGTAAACAACCTTGCACTTACTCCTCTTTCTATAAAACCTCAAAGTAATTGTCAGTCCCTCAAAGACAGGACTAAGGCCATGAGTCCCCTTGTCTTCCTGGTGTAGCTATACTGATTAAAGTTCCTTTCACACTCTATAATTACCTTTCCTGCTTAGCTTTTTAGCAAGTAGCTACGCCTACTTTTTGGATACCCAGAGTCAGGCCTCTGTTACAAGACCCTAGGTCCCAACCTCAGCACCATTAAAGAAAGAAAGAAAAAAATCTTTCTGTTCAAAATGTATACCTTTATATTTATTCTAAACCATGTAACATAATTCATCTAGCATTAGAACAAAGTGATTTAAAATCTAAATAAAAATGGCACTGAAATGCTGCCAGTGCTTAGGAATGAGTATGAATCATTCTAACTTTCAACAGACATTAACTAACATATACTAGATCAGGTCCTAGAACTAAGCCCTGATTTCTACTTCTTCAAGAAGGAATATAAACCAATAAGTACAATGAAACATATTCCTTACTTGCTCTTCATAACTAATCAGTTAAAAGTTAAACTATGATTAATTTATTCTTGTGGATCTACAGCATTGTGAGCTAATTTTCATGCATTGAGGGCAACCAAAAATTATTTAGGAAAAATGATTAAAGTCCCTCTGAAATTAAGAAATACTCATGCTTGAATAGAAAAATAACATATGATTTCACTAAAATGCTCAAGAGTGACATACAGTTAAGCAAAGTGGCACACACCTGTAATACTAGGGGCCCAGAGCCTGAGGCAGGAAGATCGCTAAGTTCAAAGCTGGCCTCAGCAACTTAGGGGGACCTTAAGCAACTTAGTGAGATCCTACCTCAAAATAAAAAATTAAAAAACAGGCTGGGGATGTGGTTCGGTGGTTAAGCACTCCTGGGAGTAATGTCTGGTACAAAAAAAAAAAAAAAAAGTGGACATACAAACCCTTTTACTTTTTAGGGAGACCTGTTTGCAACAGGAGAGTAAGTTAAAAATAATTTCTTTTTTGTATATTTTTCTACAGCTAAGAATTTAAAGAAAATGTTTCCAGAACTAAAAACTTACTTTGTGATGCATTCCTGGGATTCACAGTCACTTTTGAGTTTATGATATATCACAGCTCCTACAGCAAGGGGCCCAGCATCTCCACAGAGGAAAGTGACCCTGCGACCATTCAGGTTCCTAAGTGTTCTCTTTACATAATCCAGAGATCGAAGCAGGTATGTCTGGTCACAAGTGACCCGGTACAGCTGCAGGTACAAAAGGGCTATGCCTGAAATGATCCCAACCCCAAAAGAAAAATATTACTACCTTTCCTTTTTTACCTTCAAGATATTTTTAAATTACATGATATAAATTCTTCTACGTCAACACTACATTTTCTGAAGGGGTAACATCAAAAAAATTATGTCAAATAGTTCTTTAAAATGAAAATTAAACCCCACAGAAATAAGAGCTGGGAAAAAAAAAAGAAACACATGTAAATCGATTATCTTGCTAACTGGTATGGCATGGTGATTCTATGCTCTTAAACAAGAGATGAAATACCAAGGCTGAAATACAGAGGATAGTCCTACTCATTCTGTTAATTTTTATTCATTTCAAGGTTATATTCAGTCTCTTTTGTATCTCAAGTTACCTTTTTTTTTTTTTTTTTTAAATCTTACTCAATTATTTCCTCCAATGCTACCCAAATTAAATGATTACCTTTCTGGATTTTATTGCTTTTTCTAATTTTTCTATTTGGCACAGTTTTTCAATTTTCTTTAGTGATCAACCCATACAATTGATCAGTGAGTCAGATTAACATTTATAGGACACCACATGTACGGACTATCACCTACACAATCCTCCTATTTTAGATTGAATAACATACCCAGATCTTCACATGAACCAGAGAGGGCGCTTTGCTACCTTTGGAGGATGATGTATATAGCTTCTTAAGCATAGTTTAATGCCTGGGTGGAAGAAGTTGCTATGGGAAGAGGAGGGCAGAAGAGTGGCTGGATTTGATTAATGCGCTCTGAATGAACCTCTGGGATTATCACACTGACCCCATCAACATGTGCAATTAATATGTGTTAACAAAAAGAAGTCAGTATGACAGTGAAGTGTTTTATTATTTAATAAAATATATTATAGAAAAAAGTATTGAAAGAAGTGATATGATGGTGAAATGGCCAAACAAAACATCCTGTTAATGTAGAATTTATGTTCTTCAATATTCTGGTCTTTATCTAATAACATCCTCTGATTTTTACGGTTTTTTATTTTGCTTTTGAAAGTTCTCTAAATATCTAATTCTGCTTTGTTCAATTTTCCTATTCAGGGTATCCCATGACTCTTTCATATTAATGCTCAACACTTTATTTTTTTGAGCAATCCTTCTTTTGTCCTTATCCATTTCTGTAAAAAGACATTTATCTGGAAGCTGAAAAAAAAAAAGTCTTCTGTATGAGTTGCTTATTATCTCTTCCAGTAAGTAAATGTAAATTTATGTAATCATTAGAGAAGAGTTAGAAGCTAAATACAGATAAATTTCGAACATAATAATCATTATAAAAAGTTTACAAATAAATACTCCCTGACTGACTCAGAAACCTCTAAACAGAATACTCTCTGGTTAACCTGAGGACCTAAAAACTTATATTTAATGCTTGAGTATTTTAAAGTACATGAGGACAAATAAAAAGAAAACAGTCATCATGCTGAGTAATTTTTTTGTTAAAATGTTGACACGCACTGGGTAAAAGGCACTGTGGTAAACAGGCCTTTAGAGATGTAGGGTAAGTGTGGGAAGAGGAAATGGTCCATAGTACCGTGGTCTCCATCTTCTGGCAAGTCTTGGTCCCTAAACTGTTGAACTTCACCAGTGCCTCTCACCTCCTGTTCCCTTAGAGAGCCTGGATGTCCAGAGGGACCTGGAGTTAATTATTTCACTTCCCCAATATTGAAGGTTTACAGCCAGCTAGACTTGGGTATTTTCCTTCTTCCAGGTAGTTTGGCTATGTTAAAACTCTAGGAGGTCAGATTCTGGTAAAAGTTTCTTCAGAGGGTGGGCTTTGTTAAGAACAAAGTGCTCAGAGGTATTTAAAAATGGTTTCCATTCCCCTCCTTTTGCTCAAAGATTGATGGACTGTTTCTTCAATATTCACTGTGAAGCCCCAGTAGAGCTTTTGGAGGCAAGATGCATTTGTATGAGGTCCTCTTATGATTAAGTCCCCCTGGAATTTTTCTTTCAGATTTGTTCACACTAAGCCTCCAGGATTAATCAAAGTACAATTTAGGTTTTCCTACTATTAAACAAAAATTATAGGAGACCATTGTTTTAGATTGAACTGTTGCATGAGACCCCAGCAGACCAGAATTAACCAAAATGGAGTCACTCTTGATAAATGTTACATAAACTGAAACTTCAAGGAAGTAGAAAGACCTCCAAAAGACCAGTTTTTCCCCAAAACAGATTTCAGTCTACTTGTGTCAGTATAATAAGGAAGTCTCTTCTGCTTTAACCCTTACAAAATAATAATAAGCTGAAGTAACTTGATCTTAACCAATCATCTTTGTACTATTCTTGTTTCCTGGTTCCGACCTTACAAAACCCATTGTTCTGCCACTGCCAGGAGGGAGCTCTCCATCTATTTTGTAGAATGCAGGCTGCCTCAATTCATGAATTATGAATAGAGGTCAATTAGATCTATTTTATGGTTTGGCTCATATGTGGAAGGTGTGGTCCCCAATGCAGCAATGTTTTTGGAAGGTAATTAGACCATGAGGGCTCTGACCTCATCAATGGATAAATCCATTAATGAGTTCATGGATGATGGCATTTTTAGGAGGTGGGGCCAAGTTGAAAGAAGAAGGCCACTTAGGGCAGGTTCCAGAAGGATCTATTTTGTCCATGGCCTCTTCCCCACTTTTTCTGCTTCCAGGATACCATGAGGTAAATAGCTTTGCTCTGCCACAGACTCTTCCCTACTCCAGTGATGTTCTGCTTCACCACAGGCTCAGAAACAACAGAGACAAATGACCATGAATTGAAACATTTGAAACCATAAGCCAAAATAAATCTTTCCTCCTTTAAGCTGATTTTCTCAAGTATTTTATCAGTGATGAAAAGTTGACTAACACAATCCATAATTAAATTTGTTCTAACCTTGTGTGTTGGCAGTAACTGGCAATAGCTCCTGTTAGTTCTAATTCTCTGCATCCACCTGTCTCCCAACTTTTGGTAAAGCAATTCACCTTGTGACCTAACTTCTCTGATAGATCTAAGAAGAGGTGATGTTTCAGTTTGTTCAGCTTTTCCCTTGTTAGGATGGAGTAGCAACTCTGTACATTCCGGACTGAAAACCAGGAGTTTCTCCTTAGTTGATTTTTGTTTCTTTTTCTTTGCTTTTTTCCCCCTTAATGGTTTGATTTAGCAATGTATTTATTCAGAAAGTATGTATTGAAACTTTTCTAGACAAGAAAGATACTTGGCTTTTCATGGTGCTGCTGACAATTCCATGGTGTCATCTTAGTGTTACTTCAGCTTCTTGTACTTCAGTTTTCTTAAATGACTTTTGTGGGTCAATTCTTACCTTTTCAATTATTTTCTTGGTTCTGTCAATTCTTTATCATAGGCTCTTGTTTTCTGGCCCTCTCTTCTCCAAATGCCTTTATTTCTGCTTTGTGAACTTACTACTTTAAAAAGTTTTACAAAATTCATGTTCAAAGTATTGCCAATTTTTCTTCACATTGCAGTGGCATTTCCTTATGTTTCCTTTTTCAGAATTCCTTTTATGACATTCTGAGAGTCCTTTTTTTCCCTTATAACAAATTTTTTCTTAAGTGTGAATATATTTAATATTTCTAGAGCAATTATTGACAGGAAGATTCCCTAGCCAAAAAAAAAAAAATGGTTAGGGTAGCTTTCATAGTTGTTTTTGCTTTTTCTCAAGGGCATCCTCTTCTTGCTAAGTAATAAACAACAGTTTCTTTCTTTAATAGTGATGACTTCTGGTGGCCAGATTTCCATTGATTCCCATATCTTTTCCTGTTTCAGGAGGGTGTCAGTCATTGCTGTTTCCTTCCTGCCTTAAGCCATTAGCTGGTGCCACCAAGGACGCTACCCCCTTTTTGAAGGTCTGTACTCTTTCCTTGTACACTTGCCATGCCTCTTCTTCTCTGCTCGCCCAGCATTGCCTACTCACTTTGCACTCAGATGTGCCCACAAATGTTCCTGTTGAGGGTGTGGCCCACTCCTTCTGGGAATTACTCCTTGTTGAATATGGAGAATGAGAAAAGCAGGATTTTGAGACTCCTGGGCCCTGTGGCTTTCCTTTCCTGCTATGTCGTGCACGGCTTTCCACACTCATTCTATATGTTGTTTGTTTTTTATCCAAAATTATTTGAATGAATTTTTTTGGTCTGTCTCAAAGTTTTGCAAAAGGGAATAAGTGATGAATACTTTATTCATTCCTCTTGTATGGTTTTAAGAGAAAAGATGGAAAGGTACCTTCCATACTTTTTCCTAAACCCTAAAGCCCTAAGTACTATTTTATATCACTGAAACCAAATACCTCCACAGTGGTTCTACCATGATTCCAAAAGATGGCAATAGATAAGGATTCTTTAGAAATACAGATTCCCAGAGTTCCTACTGCAGTTGTCCTCTTAGTTTATTATATAGCTTTCTGAATGACTCTATGCATAGTCGGTTTGGAACCTAACTATTGAGTTAAAAATATTTGTCAAAAGCAAGAAGAAATGCTGTAAGTAAAAGACTTTTTAAGGGAAACCTATGCTATTAACAGCTATGTTATTGTTCTTTCCTGAATATAGTTTTCTTCTCAAAATATTCTTTGTATTTTTCTTCTGGTTAACCACAAATATCTAATTTTACATTTAGGATATATATATATATATATATATATATATATTTTTTTTTTTTTTTTTTTTCCGCACTGTAATTGAACTTGGTCTATATCTATCTGGGTTTACAAGTCTGAAACATAAATTTTAATGTCACCATATAATTGTTGTACTTATCAAAGGCAAATAATAAATAAAACATCACTGAAATAAATATAAGTACATAATTATCAAGGCTGCCATGTTTGGCTATGCATTGTAAAAATAGGTTTTGGGTTCACGGTAGCTCTAACATATATACCTGTGTCTATGCTAATTGGAAATTCAACTACAACAATTTAACAAGAAGGTTATAAAAACTGTCATTAGCAATTTAATCAGCCTTTAGTCTAATCCCTAAGAACAAGGTCTGTCTTATTTCCTTTATATACCCCAAATAGCTGTTATAATGTTCTGGCTACCTGGTAAAAACAATAAAAATATAAAGATTAGTTAAAGCAAGTTAATTTTGAAATTATATTTTTTAAAAAGTGAAGTATATTACTGGTTGCCTGTTTAACCATTATTATTAAAATTTAAATAAAAATCTTTACATGTACAAATGAGTCAAATTGAGTTCAGGCAGTAAGGGTAAATGATTTATGAAACAGACCAGAGAAATCATTCAATCACAACCTATCACAAAGCCTAAAGCAAGAATGATAACAAACCAAGCAAAACAAAATACACCTGACCCCTTATGCAAGTTTACTTTTATTACACATTTCACAGCTACATATTAGGTTAACTAAATGTAAAAATATCACATACTATATACATTAAAAGTCAAACTTCAGGCAGAAGATATTTCTTTAGAAATAAAATTCCAAAGAATCTCTCAATGAAGACATAGTTTAAGACTTCAAGAGTATAAAACTTTACCACTTTAAAAGAAAATTTCAAAGCCAAGTCTCACATCTCATAATATAAGAAAAAAATATTAATTGCTTCTACTCCATATTCTCACCTGTCCAACCAGTATAAGCAGAGCAATCATGAGGATCAGCTGTCTTCAGCCCTTCTTCCATCTGCTGTAGAAGATCTTTGATTTTGGTCTGGATCCGCCTCACAAAATTGTGAATGATCTAAGAAGCAAAAGAAAAGATAAATTTAAGTTGCACAAGAACAGGACAATGTCATAATGACAGTGTAAGTCACATGAACATAACAGAACTTATTTTATGTGGCCCATCTCAATGTCTGACTACCTGGACACTACCTTGACTTTTACAGGGTTAGTATCTTACTGAGATAATGCTCTATGGGTATTACAACTCACAAGTAGGTTCACAAAAAATAACTGGTATAAAATAAAAAATAAATAAATAAACATAAAAAAATAGATTTGACTACACAAACATTTTAGCTTCTATAAGGTAAAACACATAAGATGATTTAAAAATTAATGACAAATAGAAAATACTTGCAATATAAGATATTATAAATAAACAAAAAACATAATACCAAAGACAACCCAAATCATTAATGCATCTTACACAAAAGAAAAATCAAATGAAAAGCATATGCAAAATGTCCGATCCGGAGATGATTCATGAATTGCAAATCATTACAAGTACCACAGTTTCCCTGTCAGACTAATAGAGAATACTTTTTTTCTTAATATTAAATTCTAAGGCTGCTAAGAACAAAGAAAACAGGTATTTTTTTCATTTCTGGCAGTCATTCCCAAGAGAAATATACAACATTCTTAAATACATAGTAGAATCTCTTATACTTTTGTTGATTTTTAAAAGTCTATTTGCTATATCAATTGCTGAAGGGTCTTAAAAACAGTTTATGATTATAGAATTTCATTTCTGCCTTTTATGATTATTTTTCTTTCGTGTATTTTGAAGTTGTTATGTGGCATACACAAATTTGACTATTAAATCTTCCTAAAAAATTGACTCACTTTCATAATGAAATGCTCCTATTGTAGCACTATAGAAAAGAACCTGTATTGCACAATTAGAGGTGTCAAGGCAAATTTTACTGAAATTTGGGATTCTGGAATCAAACACTAAGAATTAATTTGCCACTGTATATGTAATGAAAATTCCAAGTGGCTAACCCCTGGAAATATATGATTACATCTCAAAAAGGGATGAGAAAAGGTAAAACTGGACAATGGGCTGGTCTTTTTCATATAGAAATTAGTGTACATTCCAAAGGGTTAGAGTAAGACATTTATAATAAGATTCTCCTAGAAGGGGAAGGGTAGACATTGCCTCTTTCCCCTTTATAAAAAGTGCAGAAAATTTATTTTTTCTTCATTCTTGCCTGTAATACAACTCTGTGCATGTAGGACAGCAGACCCCACTTTCACTGCATCACCCCCACCATTAAGAACTGGGTCACAGGGAACCACCTGCTATGTGCTGTCTGGTAAACAAAAAAAATCTCTGATCCAAGAAATTTTTGTGTACACTCAGAACAAAACTAATGAAAGGTAAATATTTAAAACCTAATACCCTCTTTATCTTCTTGTCATAAAATCTATCCTATGTGATATTATAGTCACATCAGTTTTCTTATTGATGATTACTTTTGCTGTCCGTTTATTTTCAGTCTCTCTGTATTCAGAGTTAAAGTAAATATCTTAGATAGCACAGCGTTAGCTTTTTTTTTTTTTTTGTAGGGAGTGAGAATTCCCTTCTATCACTCTTTAGTTCTTATGTGGGCTCTTTGGCTGGATTTAGGAACTGAATTAAAACAAGAGCTAATTAGCAAGAAAAAAGCACATTACATGGGAATTTTACAACAGAGTGAAGTCCAAAGAAAATGTCCAAATCAATGTTTTTATTATTTCTAGACAACAATAATTTGCAAAGGAAGAAAAGACTTATCTCTGAACTACAAATAGTAAATTCCAGAATGTCACTAAGTGATTTATGAAAGGGATGTAAAATCTAGTGTAAAATAAGGGTTAACTCAATAAAATTATTTATTTGGCTTCATTACGGTCCCAATCACAGATCTTAAATATCTCCCCAAAACCCATATGCTAAGGCTTGGTCACTAGCTTGTGGTGCTATTTGGAGGTGGTGGAATCTTTAGTAAGTGGAGCTTAGTGGAAGGAAATTAGGCCATTGAGGGCATTCCATTGAAAGGGCATTTGGGATTCCCAGCCCCTTCCCTTCTCTCTTTGCAACCTTAGCACCATAAGGTGAGCAGCTTTGCTCTACCACATGTTCCCTGTCACTATGTGCTACATCACCAGAGGCCCAAAAGCACAGAGGCCAATTGACCATTGACTAAAATCTCTGAAACCAGGAGCCAAAATAAAGCTTTCTTTGTAATAAGTTGATAATCTCAGGTATTTTGTCCCAGAAGCAGAAAGTTGACTAACATACCAATGTCTGGTGATAAAAAGCTATTTTCCTGCCTTGGCACAAAGATTTCTCTCCCCAAAGAATATTTATGGCTTGCTGCATGTAGGAAAAGAGATGCCAAATGGAACTTACAGTTTCTCAAGTAATTTCAGCTTGAAATAATCAATATACCAATTCAGCATATTTTGAGATGGCACATTCTTAACTTCTTCAGTTTGTTTGATTTTTGTTTTTGTTATTGTTTCTCCTGCTTTTTGGATTGTTTGAATACTTTTAGAAAGGTATTTTAATATTCCTGCTGAACTTTTAGCAGGAAAATTAGTTTAAATTGTTGCTCTAGAGGATACAAGAGATATCCACACCTTTTCACAATCCATTTGCAGTTAGTAATGTGCCACTTCATGTAAAATGCGGAAACTCTGAATCTTATAGGTTTAGGTCCTACCCCAAGTTATTCTGTTACAGCTGATATCTGTATTACCAATACATGAGCAATGAATCCTACAAGATAATAATGCAATTTTCATGTACAACCTGTTTTGTAAACAAATTCAGAGATAAAAGAGTAGAATTTTTTTTTTAACCTATATCCTCTTAAATGTCACTATTTCAATGAACGGGTTTGCAATTACAAGTTCTCTCAGGGGTCTTGAATTCTTTTTTTTTTTAATCTGAAAATATATTTTACCCTCATTCTTGAAGGATGTTTTCACTGAATAAAGAATTCTAGATGACAGTTTCTATTAGTACTTTTACGTTTTTTTTTTTCACTCTCCTCTGTTCTCCATGATTTTCTAACTAGAAATCAGCCATTAATCATATTAATTAATTAATCATCATTAATCAATTATCTATACATAATGTGTTGTTTTTCCCTGCTCTATTCAAGATTTGCTCTTCAAATTTTAATCTTTCATTGAATTTATAAATTCTCTCCCACTATTTCTTCAGATTATTTTTATTTCCCATCCTTCCTCTGCTTTCCTTCTATGATTTCAATTATGTTAGATTGCTTCATATAATCTAATAAGTCCTTGAAGCCCTGTTGCTTTTTATCTCTTCAATATTTTCTTTACTTTTCACAAATGGATAAATGTCTATTGATCTATTTTTAATTCAGTCACTTTTTTCCTCTAAATCCATCCAGTAGCTTTTAAATTTCAGATTTGTCTATATTAATTCTAGACTACCCATAATGTTGTTTTTTGCCTTTCCATTTCCCTGCTGATTTTTCCTGTCTTTTTATTCACTGAAAGAATTTTTGCTGTGCTTTGTGGAAGACAGTTACAATACGCACTTTAAAATCCTGTCTGCTAGTTTCACTATCTGGTTCATTTCAAGGTTGGTTGCAGCAAATTTTCTTTTCTCCTGAAAATGTGTTTCTATTGTAGAAGAGTAGAATATGCCACCCTAAAACATGTCTTTTTGACATAAGAATTATTTACTCTGAGTTGAAGACAACTCAGAAGGAGCAATACAAGAACAGCTTTCTGCATTCCCCCACTGGCCTAAAAGCAGGACATAAATTTACAAAAATGTCAGTCTTCCCTTTTCAACAAGTAAAGACAACTTTAGACACCAATCAGCCTGGAGAAGTCACCAGAGAAATCAATATAATAAATTTTCATTTATTTGCCTTCCTGCAATTAGCATGCATGAAAATTCAAATTTCTTTTCCTTCATTTTCTGTATTCTCTAAAAATTTACTGTTTTTAGTTAGAGATGCAATATAAACAGATTTCTAAGCCAAATCTGAGATTTACTCATTCCCTGGGTACCTCCCATTCATGTGGAAAATACACTGTACAAATTAAAAAGCCTCTGTTTTTCTCTTGTTAATCTGTCTTTTGTCTATCCCAACTAAGCACTCCCAAAGAGAAAATTATTTTTCTCCCCTAATTTTTTGGTTCTTCATAGAGCAGGTAATTTTGTATGGCAACTAGAATGCAAATTTGTAGTCTGTTATTCCACTAGTGTTGAATTGCAAATTCTGTTTCTTGGGCAGCAGCTCTATATCAGTTCAGATCTTCTGTCTTTAGCTAAATATCTTTAAGTCTGTAATCAAAATTTGGTTAGAGGTACATTTAGACAAAATTTAGGGATCCCTTCTCTGACTCATCTCACTTCCCCCTTGTCTTTGATAGCCACCAATTCTTTCATGAAAAAATTTTAACAAGTGATGTTGTTTAGCAGCATTTTACCTACAGTAGAACTTTTTTTCAAAACTGTAGTTAATCCTCTCAAATCCTGCCACTGTTTTAACACTGTTTATGTATTCTAAATCTTTTCTTGTCCCTTCAGCAACGCTCAGAGCATCTTCACAAGGAGAAGATTCCATTTCAAGAAACCAGTCTTTGCTCATCCATACAAAGCAACTCTAAGTTCTATAATGAGGTTGCAGCAACTTAGTCACATCTTCAGACTCTGCTTCTAGTTCTCTTTCTATTTCACCACATTCACAGCCCTCCACTGAAGTCTTGAATCCCTCACAGTCACCCATAAGGGTGAAAATTAGCTTCTTCCAAACTCCTGTTAATATTTATAGCTTGGCCAGGTGCGGTGGTGCACACCTGTAATCCCAACAGCTCAGGGGGCTGAAGCAGGGGAATCATGAATTCAAAGCCAGCCTCAGCAACAGTGAGGAGCTAAGCAACTCAGTGAGACTGTGTCTAAATAAAATACAATACAGGGATGGGGATGTGGCTCAGTGGCCAGGTGCCCCACCCCCAAAATGTTCATAGTTTGACCTCATT